TACAATATTCATGCTCCTGCAGTGAACCTGGAGGAAAGGGCAATTGGTGAAAGACGTGCACCTGACCAGCACACAAGAGAAGATAGACTTGTAGGCAGATGGGGCCAGTATAGACAGTGCTGATGGGACAGGGTTAGGCTTAAAATTCCCTCCTGGAATCCTCTTGCAATTAGTTTTGTACAGAGGGGAACGGGTGAGAATTTCTGTCAGGTTTTGTCATCTGTGTCCCCATTGGGAAGATGAAACCTCACTTTTGGTCCCAGCGAAGTGAAGGGATATCTCTCGGATAAGAACAAAGATAGCAACAAAAAGCACTCTCCTGTCTCTTGTCCTGGTGTCACTGGAGAAGACAATTAGGAAAATCTCCGAAATGGGGACACATAAAACAATAAAAACTCGACAAAACTTCTGACTCCTACTTGATCTATTGAAAACGAAAAAGGTTTCTCTTTTTTTTTTTCCCCACCCTCTTTCACTTTTATTCTACCGCTCTTATTGCTGAACATACAGCATCTCTTCTCACATTCCCATCACCTGTTCCGAAAACACACCCTTCCCACAGAATACATACCCGCAATATCCAAATACGCAGGTACACGACTATATCCTAAGCTATATATAAGCTATATCCTATACATGCACAACATATCCAAAAATAAGCAGAACCACAATAGAATATAAAACCCACAAGAAAAAAAAGACAACCCCCCACCCCCCCATAAATGTCTACCGTACTAAAATTGTATGAAAAGATGAAAAATAACATTATTATAAGGTGCATGACTCTATACAATTGTTCAACACCCCACATATGTAACCTACAGATTAAACACATTTAAAAGCATACAAGCCCCCCTAAGCCCTCGTTCACACCTAGGCGTATTGCATATGCGCGACCGTCGCACGGTTTTTGTTTACCGCGATTCGCGGTAAAAAAGTTGCGCGATTCCGAAGGCTATTTGGCTGTATCCCAATGGAAAACGCTCTACAAAACGGCCCAAAGTAGTACCTGGACCTTTTCAGGCGTGGGCCGTTTTGTAGGGCGTTAGGGACGGGCGGAAATACGCCAAGGTGGGAACGAGACCATTGACTACAATGCAATTTATATTTTTGACCGTTTTGTAGAGCGTTCGTCGAGCGTAGAACGCCCTACAAAACGGTCAGGTGTGAACGAGGGCTAAGAGAGGATCAATACACGAGTCTCTGTTACCATCTGTCAGAGACCTGGTTCAGAAAACCATATGCATAATATATGAATTGTAATTCACCAAATAAAAATGCATATAAAATAAATGTTTAATGTGTGCAAAAATATGAAATCTAACACCAATAACTGACACCAACCCACCCAATACATTCACTATAAATAGCGCCTGTGCCGAACTAAGAAAACAAATCTATATTAAAAAAATCCAAAAATCAAATGTTATTCTGTTAGGTTACATTACTGGGGTGTTGTACGATAGTACAGGGTCATGCAACTTACTAATAAAGTTATTTTTCTTATTCTCATACAGTTTTTGTGGTACAAACATGTGTTTCAGGGAGTACTTTTTATAAGGTTATCCAACATCATACTCACCAGAAGGTCCAACTGTATCTTAACGACACCAGAAGGTCCAACTGTATCTGAACGAAACCAGAAGGTCCACCAGTATTCAATTACACCAGAAGGTCCAACTGTATCTGAACATAACCAGAGGGTTCAGCAGTATCTGAACGAACCTAGAGGGTCCAGAGGTATCCGAACAGCACCAGAAGGTCCAACTGAATCTGAACGAACCTAGAGGGTCCAGAGGTATCCGAATGGCACCAGAAGGTCCAACTGAATCTGAACAAAATGAGAGGCCCAGCAGTATTCCAAATAACTGCAGAAGGTTCAACTGAATCTGAATGACACCAGAGGGTCCAGCGGTATCGGAACGACACCAGAAGATCGAACTGTATCTGCACAGCTCAAGACGGTTCACTGGTATCCGAACGACACCCGAAGGTCCAGCTGCATCTGAATGACACCAGAAGGTCCAGAGGTATCGGAAGGACACCAGAGGGTCCAGAGGTATTGGAATGACACTTTGTTTCCCCCCAGTTGCTTCTGGAATCTACTGTATGATATGCTCTGCTTTGAGGAATCTCTTCTATGGCTGTATTTACCAGATACTTGTGTGTATGTTCTTACAAATGTTATTCTCTTGTAATAGAAAACTCTTCCATAAAACCATTATTAGTATAATACAGGACTTGTATAGCGCTAAGAGTTTGCACAGTGCTTTGAAATAAAAAGGGAAACAGCTACCATATAGTGCAAGACAAGAGGGTTAGGAGGACCCTGATAGTAAGAGCTTACAATCTAAAGGGCAGATTATACAAAAGGTAACTGTGCAGGGGAAGAGTTGTGCAAGAAACTAAACCCATTAAACAGAAAACTAAAAAGGCTTTGGTGGAGTTGGACTTTAACATATCAGACTGGCAAAAATGTCTATAAATCTGAGCTGGGCTGATATTCTGATGGACAGTCGGCATCCTTAGTAGAACAATTTAATGTCAGCCTGCATAGGGGACTGGTGTGGGAGAAGCAGCGCGTGTGCCTATATACAGGTGTGGGTTTTCTGTACGGAACCTGACAGACCTAGGAATAAAACACATTCACTTAGAAGATATAAAGTACAATGATGATTTTTGTATTTCATTTCCTCTGTGGGCTTTTGGAGAAGTGAGGATTATGCAGAGCTCTGCTGCCCCCTGCTGATCATCACCAGTACCGACTCAGACAGACTGATTATCTGCAGTCACAGACTCTTGCAAAGAGCGACAAGGATATGCAAAGTATGGTAACTCAGAGTGACCAATCAGAAATTGTTTCTAAACTCATCACGCTACAGAAAAATGACATCTGCTCTGTATAATACATGGCCACAGTTTTGTGGATAGCTGACAATCACATCTATATGAGCTTGTTGGGCCTTCCAATCCAAATCCATGGCTATTAGTATGAATTTGGCTCAAACAGCCCCCACTCTACCTTTCTGATAGAAAAGAAGTATGAGAACCCCTGTCAATTTTTTTTTCTGAATTCCATGGGGGAGATTACGCTTCATTTCTTGTCCTAAGAGGAAATCTCTCTAAAGTGAGAGGAATTCCCCTCTTAGGCAGTTGTCACCAGAAAAGGTGTCCCCGATTGAAAGATTTCCCCTCAACATCTGTTTTGGTGACAGCTTAGCCGTTTCAATCTTCCCTCCCTACCTTCAGTCCCAGTAATAATGGTCACCAGGACAAAGAGGGACCGTGAACACCAGTGACAAAGATGCTGGAGAAACCTGAAAGAGGTTCTAATCTCTTATATACCAAATCCAAAACTGGCCCTTTCACTGCGTTATCACACACGCTGATATAAACTCCTATCCCTTCTGTGCCGTCTGTCTGTTTGAAGCATTGTACATGAGATGTCGCCTAGTTCAAGGAGTTGAAGTAGAACTCCAAGGAAAACTTCTTTTTTCCTATTGGCCCCCCTCCTCCTGTATAAAAATATAGTACCAATCTCTACTTATTCTCTCCACTCTCCATTAGTGTTCCCTGGCTCCTTCTTCGGTCCAGCACAGGAAGACCTCTCTGGGCAGGACGACAGTCATGTTATTCTCCCCATTCCCTATGAGCCCAGCCTGTAGTTCACATGCCTCCCTAGGGGGACATGTCATTACACAGGCTGGGCTCACCGTACTCCAGGAATGAGCGGCGCTAACATGTCATTACCTAAGCATCACTCAGTCCTGGAACAATGCCAGCCCCGTGCTGCCACCACGGCAGGAAGAGGTATATCAGGAAAAAGGTATGTTTTATTAAAATAACCCGGGGGGAGACCAAGCGCAGCTTCAGTGGGTGACCTGGGACATCCTGGAGTTCTGCCTTAAATTTTCTCTTACATGGTGGCAGTTAGGATTCCACAAACTAGAGGAAATGTGTCTGAATTGCTCATAACAACCAAAATCAGCATAAAGAAGAACTCCAGGCAGTTACAAACTTAACCCTTGCAGTGAGGCTACCCCCACACTGCCAGGGTTAACAGATCTTTTTTTTTACGGTCTAAAACGGTGGTGGGCAACTGGGACCCTCCAGCTGTGCTTTAACTACAAATTCCAACACGCCCCTGCCTCTGGGAGTCCTGCTTGTAACCGTCAGTTTTGCAATGCTTCATGGGACTTGTAGTTCCAAAACAGCCGGAGTCGCCCACTCTGGTCTAAAATGAAAAAAAGATACACTCACTTAATCCTCTGGCTGCTAGACCGGTCCCCACAGCCTCCGTCCCCCTCTGCTCCGGCGGTCTGAGGCTCTGCGTGTCATCACATCTATTAAAGTGTATTAGACTTGAGGACGCCGAGGCACTTTCCCCTGCCAGAAAAGTGGGGGAGAGAGGTGAGCAGTCTCTCACAGGATTGAGGCTTCTTTATTTGAGACCCTAGAGAAAATCGAGCAGTTAACCCTTGCAGTGTTGGGGCAGCCCCACTGCAAGGGTTAACTTTTCAAAATCCTAAAAGCTCTGCTGATCGGGGTTTGTGAGGACAAGGCATGTTCTCAGCTTGCATTTGAGAAGCTTGAAGCTTTTAATGTATTCCTGTTGACTTGTATAAAGAGAAAATCAGTTGTCATGCAGACAAATGTCCATATACAGAAACCATAGAAGAGCCAACCAATTACTTCACCGGCAATGAGATCTGGAGACCATGTACCGCTGACAACCCTCGCTGCCCAGAGTTCTTCTGTAAAGTTCTCATTTTCCTAATGGAAGTTAGCACCTTTGTAGTTACAATGAGATCACATGCATCCTGATGGAACCGTGTCCTATTTTACATTACTGAGAGGCAGTAAGACATCTTGGCCAAGGGGACATATCCAGGAAATGAAGCAAGGAGACCATAGTCATGGAGTCCCTGGGCAATATAAGAAGCATGGAAAGCAAACTTCCCCTCACCCCCACTGACTACACTCCACTCCAAGTGCCCGGTATTAAGAGTTCCCTGTCCTCTGCTAGCAAGATATGTGGGGGAAAAAATAAAAATAAAAGAAGAAGAGCAGAGCAGCATTCCAGCCGATTACAGCAAAAGCAGCCATAATAGTAAAAACATAGCAAATGCTACACAAAGGACACAATTGTACCTGTTGTGTCATAACGGCTGCTTTTGCTGCTCTTCTCTTTTTTCCAAATACAAGAAGCATCTCTGCATCTGAAATATCAGGTATAAATATTGTAACACAGAGGTTGGCAACCTCGGCACTCCAGCTGTGCTGAAACTACAAATTCCATCTTGCCTCTGCCTCTGGGGGTCATGTCTGTGGCTGGTAGTGTCTTGCAATGCCTTATGGGACTTGTAGTTCCACAACAGCTGGAATGCAGAGGTTGCAGACCACTGTGGTAAGAGATCACCCAGCGCGCATGCACGCGCACACACATACACACACAACTCTGACCTTTGAGGAGGGGCTGGAAGGTTGGGATCTCCTGCAGTTTGATGACCTCGGGGTCCTTTGTGATGTTCCGGAGAGACTGTGTCCCAGGAGCCACCACTACAATGTCGTCCATCTTCGCTCTCTGTCTGGCCGGTGAGGGATGTGCTGGTAACATAATAATGAATAACTATGAAGCCTTCGGAGGAAACCTGTGCTGACCCTTCTGCAATAAATCTGCTAACATCGGCTCGCTGGCTCAGCAATTGCCGCTTTCACTTCCACAATTCAGAACCTCCAACACAAACAGATTTTCTAGTTAAGGGGAAACTTTAATCTGCTTGTATTTCGCCTTTCCTGGTTCCTCCCCTCATCAACATGCTAATTCTTATTATTTTTTTTAATAAAACTTTTCTGCTTTACCTTATTTTAGAGCCAGTGACATAATCACTGGGTCTATGTGCTTCTTTATGCAATGCAGGCAAATCATGGCTGGTGGGAGGGGCTGGCAGGGTGCTGTACATAGATTTCTGAAAACATCACAGTGCCCTGTCTCAGGACTCCTCTCAAGAGCCTTTAGCACTGATGCAAGCAGTGGACTGGTGTGGGAGGACTTATCCAAATATCAAAATGCCTTGATGGATGAATGTTAGTCTAGAGGACTAGGTGTTTCTAGGAAGGCAGAATTTGCATGCAGACACCATAGGTAACATTCACATGTGATGTCGAGGCTCCATGATCCAAAGAACTGAAATCCAGTGAATGAAAGGGACAGTCCAGGGACAGTCAGGCTGCGGAGGAAAGCTCTAGATGAAGCTGGGCCAGCCAGGAAATGAGGTGGGCCTGCAAGAGGCTGATACCAGGCCAAGTCAGGTCCTTACACTGCTTTATATTGTATCAATGAATACAGAGCTGCATTCATTTGTGTCTTGTATATCTGCCGGATGTATTATCAATGCTGCAGGAAAAATGTCCTGTTACCCATAGCAACCAATCATCCCAAAGTCATTTCTGCAAACAGCGATTTTGAATGGTTGCTATGGGGAAACGAGATTTGGTTGCGTTATCCGCTAAATATGACTATTCAAACCCTCCAATGTCATGAAATGCCAGCAATGACTATCCCTACCCCCAAATTATTCCGGAGCTGTACGCAGGAACAGACTTGTATTCAGACTTACCAGAGTTGGAATCTCCATGCCGGATGTCATGCTCATTGCTCTGCTCCGCCCCCATGATGGAGAACGCCGGCGGTGTCTCGCCTACAACCAGTTCTGGAGCAAGAAAATAGAAACCGGTTAAGATCTGGTATGACTGTAACCCCAACCATCATATTAGAACCAAAACCTGGGTCACATGCCTCCATTACTAATGCTCTGGGGGACAGTATTCTGTCCAAAATGTTACCCCTCTCCTCAGAGATCTGTCCTGCCTAGCAGCCGCCACTACAGAGGTCTCCTGGCCGGGCTTCTTTTACACTCATGTGTGGGAGAACCTCCTTTATACCTATGGAGAGGCCATCTATTATGCATCTCAACTGCGGATGGCTGCTCTATAGGAATGAAGACTCTACTGCATGTGTGTGGAAAAACAAGACCCGACCGGGAGAGTACTGCAGAGGGTGAATCTCTCCTCTGTCAGGGTTCTTACCCTTCCAAGCTTCATCTGAAGCTAAAAACTTAAACCGACACTAAACCTTTTGATTTAGTTGATAATTAATAATAAAAATGTATCTTATTTGTGTATCACTCGGCTGTAGATCTTCAAATCATCTCTGAATTGGAGCCGACACTGTGCTTCCTTCTGGAGGGGGGCTACTTTTGTTCCCCATGGTCCATGTGTGTGTTGTAAAGTTCTCAACTGCGGATGGCTGCTCTATAGGAATGAAGACTCTACTGCATGTGTGTGGAAAAACAAGACCCGACCGGGAGAGTACTGCAGAGGGTGAATCTCTCCTCTGTCAGGGTTCTTACCCTTCCAAGCTTCATCTGAAGCTAAAAACTTAAACCGACACTAAACCTTTTGATTTAGTTGATAATTAATAATAAAAATGTATCTTATTTGTGTATCACTCGGCTGTAGATCTTCAAATCATCTCTGAATTGGAGCCGACACTGTGCTTCCTTCTGGAGGGGGGCTACTTTTGTTCCCCATGGTCCATGTGTGTGTTGTAAAGTATTCACCGCTCCAAGCTCGCTCCTGTGATGGACTACAATCAGTAATAAACTAAAGGTGAAATGGTAGTCCATCACAGGAGCGAGCTTGGAGCGGTGACTACTTTACAACACACACATGGACCATGGGGAACAAAAGTAGCCCCCCTCCAGAAGGAAGGACAGTGTCAGCTCCAATTCAGAGATGATTCGAGGATCTACAGCCGAGTGATACACAAATAAGATACATTTTTGTTAATAAGTAAAAGGTACTTAAATACTTTGTAAGATTTAACTCCCGTGTTTACGGTACCTTTAAAATGTTGGCTTTGGCTACACTTTTTTTTTACATTGTGTTTATTAAATTTTTCAGCAGTGCAAGCAGTATTACAATCAACAATGTAGAAAACGCGTTCAACACAAAGCAAGCAGGCAAACATAAGAACACCTGGGACAGTCAGCTGGGTCAGCTTTAGATACCCTTCAGGGAACGAAACTGAATCCCAAAAAACATTAAACGGGGATAGAGATCTTTATTAGTGCAATGTAAGTCATTTTCAAATCTCATTGGACGTAGCTGAAAAATAACAGTTGTTGCTCCGATACAGAAACCAGCATTGCTGGACTCCCTGGGGCTGATTTTGGATTTCCTCCAGCTTCCATCATGTTATTCCAGTTGGTAGATTTCTATTCATCAAAAGTCTGATCTGCTGGTTGATTTATATGGCTTGTCTGTTTTTAAGGTTGTGTACTGCCTGGGGAAAGGCACAATGTCGGAAACACCTTTCAGTGTTTTTTGTACTGATTGTTTAATGAAGCTACCCTTGTTATACGTGGCTCAGTGAATTGTATGTATGTGGGTTTCATTTGTATGTATAACTTGCTTTGCATGTCTTCTATATCTGACTGTGCACACACAACCATAAGGTGAGAAAGAAGGTGAACCCCTTTATGGAGAACACATAGCAAAATATGGTCACTCGGAGCACCCAGAGTACCACATCTTTATGCAAAGACTTTCAAAGCAGAACTCCGGGTAAAATATTTCTGAACCCTTAAAGTCCGGCTACCTCCACACTGCAAAGGTGAGGTGCTCGTTTTTGACTTGGTTCAAAATAAAAAAGTTACACTCACCTGATCCTCGGAGCCGGCTTGCTCTTAGACTGTCTTTGTAATATCCCATTCGCACACTGTAGCGATGTAACCTAGAATTCAATGGGTGCTGGAACAACAGGCAGATGGCGCCACAGTATACAATATAGAACCTTGGTTGTCAACTGGTGGGTCGCGACCCCTGTCCAGTGGGTCGCCACATGCCTTCCACTTTTCTAGGTGAGCCTCCCCCTAGAGAAGCACAGTCAGTTCTCGCACCGAGCAGCCATTTAAAATTATGATGCCCGGTGCCGAGTGTCGACTTGAGATGGGGTGAGGTGGGGCTATGGCCGCAAGGGAGCTCCATTCATACGTGCATTGCTTAGAGCTCATCACATTGTGGCTCCCGGCACCTCTACAGGGCACACACGAGAGCTTTACAAGCAATACACATATGGATGGGGAACCATCACAGCACAGTAGACCACACTGGACCCCAGGTTGAGGATCCGCTCAAATTTCCTTAATGGCAACCCAAACGCACCTCCCACCAACAGTTCGATTGCGCAGTACCGTGACATGGAACATTGCAGTGCAACTTGGGTCGCGACTTAATGACCAAGGACAAATGTGGGTCCTGAGGTTACCCAGGTTGAGAACCACTGATCTAGAAGATCTGTTGTCTGTACACCATTCTGCCTCAGAATGTTATCTTTATTCGTAATCCTTTAGCATGACAGGTAAATGCACCGTACACTTTGCTTGATGAAGGGGTCCTGCGAGGCACATGCCATGCTAAAGGATTACGAATAAAGATAACATTCTGAAGCAGGATCGGTGTGCGGACAACAGATCCTCTATATAGTTCTTAGACTGGTCCCTTTTGCCTTGATCCCCCTCTGCTGCCACAGTCTAAGGTCCCTGAGTCATCACGTTCTATACACAGTGTATAGGACATGAGAACATCCAGGGATATTCCATTGCTGCAGTGAAGGATGAGACAGGCAGGTAAGTATAGCTTTGATAAAAACAAGCGCTTTACCCTTGCAGTGTGGGAGTAGCCCCACTGTGAGGGTTAATACAAATATTACCTGGAATTTAGATCAGATGGTTAGGGAGCAGACAAGAGATTATCCTCTCCATACATAACCCACTCCCCATGTAATCAAAGTGCTTTCCCCTACAGCAATTATTGAGCATTCATCTTTAATCCTTCAAATTGCATTCCATTTACTAT